ACCGCCCACAGAACATCTCTGTCAGTCTGCTGAGATGTTGTATTACTCCCAACACGAGTCGGCCCAAATAGGTGAAAAGAACCTGCCTCCTACATGATCTAGACTAAGTCCACGAGGGCATAAAACATCTACAGTTACAATTATAATAAAACCTTGGCAGTCATGGTCGTTTGGAGTGTATCAGAATAAGTTGAGGTCAGCCTGGTGCAGATCAGGGCTTAACCTACTACAGCACTTACAGCTTTTCCTTGTTCTGGCTCTGTCGATGTCCATTCCTCTCGGTCGTGAGTGAGCTCTCGTAACTTTTCCTTCCTGAATTTCTAGCGTGATGGCTGTATCGTGACCACGGAATCAAGGGACACTGTCAACGCAATTGGTTACGCCTTTGTTTAGAATCTGGGTATGGAAAATTTTGGCAGCTTATGAAGTTTCGAATCCCAAACGAAGTTGAACAGAGCTCAGCCTTAAAAGAAATGTTGGTTACTGTAAGACAAAAAGTAGTGGTACAGCAGGTTTTCTAACCCCCCTTAATTATAATATGTTTTGTTTTGCATCTACACTTTCAGCAATTTCAGTACCGTGTAAATTGATGATAAAACAGCTGCCGAAGCAAACCTCTGATACACTATAGTTAGAAATAATTTAATAATCAGTTAATGATCAAAATAACATTCCAATGGGTCCTTGGCTTGAAACTCATTGGTTGTCAATAAAGGCACAAGGGTTGTGGGCCTTCTTGGGACACCGTAAGCATAACTTAGTTATTCATATGGATTTTTTAAAATTCTTGTTTTCTTTCTCTAAGCTTTAAATAGCCAGACAGCAACAAGTAGACTGTGCCATATGCAAACTCATGTTTCTGATTTATGTTGACAGTCCAAATGTATGTGCCGTAACATTGCCTTTGGTCTGCTGCTCATCAGACATGTTTGTCCACTACGCCCTAAAAGAGCTAGAACAATAATCTATTGCATGCACAGGAGCCAGTGCTAATTCCGATTTTATACATTAAATGTGTATAACTTCAATTTACCATGTAAAGTCAATGGACAAGCAGCGCTATAGTATACGGACAAAGGGGATGCAATGAGCGAAGAGTGATGTCTGCGAACCACAAACAACTAATACTCAGCCGTTCGAACAAACAGTAATACAGATTTCGTGTGAACGAAAAACTGTTTTGTGGGAGAGCTAAAGAGGTTGCACCCTCATAAAAAAACACAACAACTATGCATACAAACAACGCCCAAGTTGATAAGACATTACGAGTACACAGTACCATAGCCGGCGGAGTGACAGGGGACTCCCCGTGCATTCTCTCAACGCCCACACACAACAGACGCGACCAGACAAGAGTTCCACTCGCCTTATGACGTCACTGATCAGATCGCTGACGTAGGCGGGGGGTCAGAAATTATCATTCATTGAGTGAGTGAGAGAGAGGGAGGAAACCCACACTCATCTGATAGTCATTACGATTTTGGATCATAATATAGCGTGTTGCACAGTGGGCTAAGAATAAAAGCAAGGAAATGTAAGTACACCTGTATGATGTTTGTGTGTCCGTGAGTATTGTGAATGTGTAGGTGTGCTAGGTTATTAAGCTGTTACATCTGTACGTTTTGTTGTTTGTCGGTCACTGCGTTGTGCAATCATTCCGATTTCACCCCAGCTGTTGTGAGAAAGACGAGATGTTGAGAAGATAAATCTTTACTTCTCCGTCATTGACAGTGATGAAAATAACCCTGCTACCCATTTATTTGAACTAATCACGTACCGTGTAATGTGTTTTATAGTAGGTTAAAATAATTATTGGATTTGGTACCAAAAGAAAAATGATATTACTTGAACATGTGTAAACATTTGCTTATAATATGTAGGCCCCTATGTGGCAATAATCTTACTGGATATCTTTTTCATCATTCACAATTTCGATGTAAGCAGAAAAGTTAATGCCAACAGTCTGTTGATCTGATCGGGATTCGCAGAAAAGAGTCGACAGTCAGATGTGGGAAGATCCGAGCTTAAGCTTCGAGGCACTTGGTGCACTTGTCACGTTCTGTGGGTGTCACGGTTAAATTTTTTGGCATCTTTTTTTAAGAACAGATCTCACAAAAACACGAAAACAAAACGAAAACCACCCAAAGAATAAGAGGAATACAAACAATAGCGACAAAAGTAAAATCTAACAAGGGAACAACACTATCTGCAATAATAAACAGATAAGAACAACTTAGGTCGTTTTCTGTCAACATAATAATCATCATTTCCTTTCCAGTCCATGTAAAACCTTCATAGTTCTCTTTTTTCCAAAGTGTAAAATTATTTTAATATATGCATTCAATTAAGTCGACTCCCTTCTTGGCCAGATGTTCATGCCGTCTGACTCTACTAAATACACCATCTAGAGCATAATATTATGTGAGCAGTCATTTGTAATGAAATATTTGTTTCTAGTGTAGTCTTTCTCTTACATATAAACATTACAAAGAAAACGTATTATTAAGATAGTTTGGATTTTGGGGGTTTTCCTACATGATCTGCATAGATCAGACTCCAATTATCTGATAAATTTAAGACTTATGAAAGATTCCAATACAAGACAAGACCAGATTTTGATTTTGCTGTCTAGAATCCACGTGAATATCGTTTATATTGTCCAACTCCACCCTCGCACCTTTGGTACTAATGCCCATCCCTCAGGCCTCTTCCTACGCATCAAATTATCACAATGCCAACCAGTTTGAGTTGCAGTCTTTTGGTGCAGAACCGCACGTACGCGGGACACAAAAATAAAACAAAATAAAACAGCCCTTATCAAACCAGTGATTCTGACGTTTTTGCGTGGGAGGTGGGAATTGACCATATGCGGGTGACGAGATCCCTTATCCACGCGGGAACTTTCAATAAGGTGAATACGTTTCGGTGATTCATCTGCTGAGATTCTTACTCGTTCTGAAAGTTTGGTTGTATTTTTGTTGTTGTATTTTTACATTTTGGGTTCAACATGAGGGAAGCTTTTGTATTTGCCCCAATGAAATTGTTGTTGTTGTTGTTGTTGTTGATGATGTTGTTATTGTTTTTGTTGTATCTGCTGAGGCTGCCTCGGCTGCTGCTGTATTTGTAGCATTTGTTGTTGTTGTTCTTGTTCCTGTTGTTATTGTTGTCCTTCTTCTTTTTCTTCTTCTTCTTCTTCTCCTGTCCTCCACCTCCTCCTCCTTCTTCTTTTTCTTCTTCTTCTTCTTCTTCTTCATCTTCTTCTTCTTCTTCTTCTTCTTCTTCTTCTTCTTCTTCTTCTTCTTCTTCAAAAACCGAATCAACTTCAAAATAAACTTTCACAACAATATCATCATCAACAACAACAACAACAACAACGACGACGACGACGACGACGACGACGACAACAACAGCAACAACAACAACAACAACAACAACAATAGCAACAACAACATTAGCAACAACAACAACAACAACAACAACAACAACAACTACAACACAATTTTCCCCCGCTTATTTCCCCCTGGGTAAGCTACTGAAAAAGAGTCCTCTTTGTTCTGTTCGGGAGACATCATTATAATTTTCATCTTGGTGCCTTGTTACAAGAGAGGAGATGGTCAATTTGAGGAAGAGTGCAGGAAATCCATACGATCAAGACACTCTTTTCACTTCTGATCTCCATGAAATCGTCCCTCCTCCGATAACAATGGTGGTTAACGCCGAACGAATACACATACATCTTGTGTTGCGCCCTGTCGTTTTTCCCCAGTTCTTAGCGCAGAACAATGCTGCGATCCATCATGATTAGATCTGATGCATCGGGGCTATTACTGACGCCGATTGGAAGACTCTTAGTGTGGGCAGCAGACAGAAGCCATTGAATGATGTTTGCCCGCTAAGAACTTGGATAAGGGGTACATATCTTCAGATATTTAGACGTTGGTCTGACGCTCAAGCAGATAAATTGAAAAAGAATGGCGTGTAAGGAGGAAGTGATTAGGATAGATAGATAGATAGATAGATAGATAGATAGATAGATAGATAGATAGGTAGATAGATAGATAGATAGATAGATAGATAGATAGATAGATAGATAGATAGATAGATAGATAGATAGATAGATAGATAGATAGATAGATGAGAGAGATAGAGAGATAGAGAGATAGAGAGACAGAGAGATATATAGATAGATAGATAGAGATATAGAGGGATAGAGAGGGGGAGGAGATAAAGAAAGATAGAGAAATAGAGAGTGGGAAAGGGGGGGGGGTGTCTAAACAGAACTGGGCTGTTTGCCAGATCTCTTAACTAAATCACGACATTTGCTTGTTTAACGATTATCGATCGTTTCGAGATTTTCAAACCTCATCTATTTCTGTGCTTGGAAAGAGAAGTACAACATGACATGACAAGTACAGCGGTAGTAGTGTATAAATAGGACTGATCTTTATATTATGACAAAATAATTTTCCAGCTATTTTGGAGGCTGCTAAACCCGAAAGATAAAAGTTCCAAGCTCTTTTCAGCCACCTTTTTGCAACTTTGATTCTTCTTCAGTCATACCTTTATCAATTATCCACTGTGCTTGGTTTTGTCAAAAAGTATGCAAATCGACTTCGAGCACACATTTGGATTACAGTCGAACCTGTGTAAGACGGCCACCCATTGTCAAGGAGAAAAGTGGCCTTATAAGACAGGTGGCCGTCTTAGGCAGAATTGATCAAGATGAAGAAAACAAACCATTTCTTTCTGAGGTCCCAACCGAAAGTAGCCGCATTGTTATTGTTGATTTTGTTGTTGTTATTGTTGTTTTCGCTGGGGGGGGGGGGGG